GGGGGCACAGGGCAGGGCCAAAAAAGGGGCTCTGAAGACCTGAGATGGGAACTTTCCTTGGTGAAAGGCAACTGGCCCCCCTCTCCAGAAAACTGTGACCTCAGCTGCCAGAATGGAAGAGCAGGGACTGGGAGGAGGGCTCCGGAGGACAGTCTGATGCTGGCAAGTGCCCTGGAAGAGAGGTCCAGTGATAACGGTGGCACAGGAAGAGTTAAGAATATTCCTAAAATAGCCCAGCCAAAGCCTAAGCCAGCCGGCTAGTGCCTCTCCTGGAGAGCAGATCTATAGTGGGGGAAAAGTCAGCCTGCTCTGTGCCCACCGCCTGCTGTCTGGCTGGGGCTGCTAATTAAGTCTTCCCCACCCCTGCACCCCACCCTTGCACCTGCCCCTCCTGCCCTAGCAGGGGAGGGAGTGGGAGATTGGGGCCATGTCTTCCCAGTGACAGGGCACTCCAGCTGGGACAAGGAGTCCTATGGTCCAGCACCCCCCTACACACACACCCCTGGCCTGGGTCAGTGATAAGCACACAGATGGACAGACAGGCAAAGTGTAGGCCTGTGAGTGAGATCGAGGCTGACAGGAAGGAGCAGCCAAGTTCTCTCAACCCCACACATGCACAGTCACCCACTGTAGGATGGGGACCCCCAGGAAGCCCATTAAATGCCAGCTTCTCTTAGCTGTGTTCCCCCTCACTTGGGGCATCTTAGGATGAGGCTGGGGCAGGGAAGGACCAGAGGAGCCCCTCTAAGAACAAACCATATTTCTGGTTCAGGGGCAGAACCAACCACATCATTTATGGGGCGCAGTGTAAGATGAAAGTGTGATGTCCTTTGTTCAAAAATTCCTCAGAATTTCAAGGCAATGAGAGCAGAGTATTAAATCGAGTGCAGATCCCTTCTGAGCGTGGGACCTTTGCCCGCGGCACAGGTTGCACACCCACAAAGCTGGCCCTGTTCAGGGGTTCTGTTTAACGAACATTTACTAAACACCACTGCTCTAATGGCTGTGTCACCTCAGAGATCATCTCTCTGTCACTCCTGTTCTCAAATGTATGGAGATAAAGTGTTCAAAGACCCCTCTCTCAACACAGGAGGGCTGGGCCTCCCACAACCTTGGTGGATTTGAGCTCTCCCAGGATACTGCTGCAGCCAGAGTCCCAGTCCCCACACCCAGCAGTGAGATCCCCCTGAGTCCCACCCTCTGCTACCACCTCAGAGACTCTATAGAGACCACCTAGCACAGGGGCAAGCAATCAGCTCCTCCTCCCCTTGGCCCCTGACCACCACCAGTGGGGTCCTGAAAAGAGCCCCCAGGGCTCCCATCTGGCTCTGCCTCATATAGGCCTATGACCTTGGCCATTTTCCCTCTCTAAGCCTCAGTTTTCCCATCTGTCAAAGGATGGGGTCTCTAAGGCCTTTCCAGACCCTAGGCTGTAGGTCTGCTGGGGTGGGAATGCAAGGAGAAGTTATTTCCTAAAAAGAATAGGGCTTCCAAGAAAGAAAAAAGCCTTCCTCAGTCATCCTGGGGGAAAGGAGACTTTCTCCCTCATTCCCCCATCCTCAGATCAGGGGGTGTATTTTCCAGAACCCAGGAACACTGGCAACTACCCACCAGCCCAAGTCCCTCCTCTACCGCCCTCTCCCCACTTCTCTTCCTGCCCCCCTGCTTTCCCCCACCTTGCCTGGAAGTTGGGGCTGGGGGGTAGGGGGGTCTGGAAGAGTAAAGGCCTGTGGGAAGGGGGTGGAGAGTATGCAACCATCCCAGCCAGCCGGGCCTTCTCTTTTCGCCTTTGCAGGAGGCTCAGCATAATTGCACTGCTTGTCACTACTGCATCCCGCTATCTGTCTCACAGGCTGACCCAGCCATTATATTGGTTCCTGTTGGGACTGTGGAGCCTCATTATTTATACATGCAGCTGGGAGATTCAGGCTTGGCTAAGGGGAGAAAGCCCCTTCCATGAGGTCTCCCCTCCCACAGCAGGGGCCTTTATAGAGCTGCCTCCTTGGAGCCGGCTTTGGGATGGGTGGCAGACAGCTACAGGTCAGAGGTGGTGGGGAGGAGGCCCAGAGTTGGGCATTACCCTGGAACTCCCAGGCATGAGGCCCAGAGTTCTCTGGTGAAGGAGCATGAGAAACCCTGCTTATGACCTGGGTAGTTGGGCTCTGCCCCCTTATCTCCTCTCCTCCTTAGGATATGGGGCTGGAAGAGGGGTTCCTGAAGAAGGTTCCTCACCAACCTCCAAGACCTGGCCAAACTCAGGGGTTCTGAGTCCCAGCCTGGTTTGGCTCACTGAGGTGTGTCCTGCCCCCCATGCCAAATCACAACACAACCCCTTTCTCCCAGGCTTTCTGTCCAAATGCCCTTCCCCCAACGGGGGCTGAAATTATGGAGGCTTTTCCCATGGAGGATCTGGAAGTGCCTCAGTTTAAATGCCATGAAGGGATTTGAGATATTTTAATGGGTCCATGGAGAGTTTTCAACATGAAATCACAGCCTTTCAGAGCTGCTCTGGAAAATTCTCCAGCCCAGGGAAAGAAATAGAAGCCCTCAAGTATGATGAGACTTCCCTAAACATACATTACATGGTAAGTTGGTGGCCTTACTGGGTCTTGAGAGCCTCTGCCTCTTGGTGTCCAGTTCCTCATCCTGCCCAAGCCAAGGCTATAAACCAGTGTCTTCAACCAAAAACCAAAAATATGCCTTTTATGCTATTGGGCCTTGACCCAAGTTGTTCTTTCTCCCTAAAGTGCCTTCCTTGTTCTCCCCACTAGGTATGTGCCTGCTGGGCCAAGTGGTAAGGAGCCCCCAACCTGGGGTTAAACAGATCTGATATTTAATCCTGATTCTCCCTCTTACCAGCTGTGTGATCTGGGAAAGTTACTTAACTTCTCCGAGCCTCGGCATTCTCATCTCCAACATGGAGATGATAATGCTTATCCCTTAAACTTCCAGTGAGGATTAAATGAAATAGAGTATGCAAAGTACCTGCCACATACTGGTACTCAGGTAAGAGCAACAACATTCATCCATCCTTCATCAATTTCATAAACATTTCAAGATCTTACTCTTACTCTATTTTAATCCCTGCTCCTCACAGTAGCCACAGTGATCTTTCTAATCTGAAAAATCTGATTATATCACTCACTCAAAACTCTTCAGTAGTTTCTAATTGCCTTTGGGATAAATTATACATTCTTTATCACAGCCCATGAGGCACTGCAAACTAGTCCTTAGAACATACTGTTCCCTTTGCCTGAAATAATCTTCCCTCCCTCCCTCTCTCCTCCACCTCTGGATGGCCATCCTCTTCACTCTGCTGTCCTTTCATCAGGATTTGACTTAAATATCACCTCCTCCAGGGAGCTTCCCATGATTCCCTGCTTCCAGATGGATTCTGGCGACACAGCCACATGCTCCTACAGCACTCCACACATTCCCAGGCAGCTTATTGTCAATCTAGATAGCAGTTGCTTGTTTAATTGTCCAGGTTCCTACCATACACTATAAACCACATGAGGTCAGAAGTCTTTCATGATCATCACTGTCCTGTATGGTGGACAGTCACTTACTATGGGCTTATAATTGATGGAAGATGGATGAATGAATGGATAGATAGATGGAAAAATGACACCTCCCCTGTAAAGTCTTCTGGAGTCCTTTGAGCAGGGAGTTTTTCATCTGTGCTTCATAGCACTTAGTACAAACCTCTACCCAAGACTTAGTTTCCTCAGCCATATATTGGGAAAATAAGAGTACCTCTCTCATGAGATTGTTGATATTAAATGGCATAAGCCATGTAATAGTTTTGAGTCCATGCTAATAATAGGTTGTTAAATTTAAATGAGATAATAATCCACAGAAAGTGCTTTAGAAAAAAATCTTGCACTTAGTAAGTCCTCAAAAAATATTAGCTCCAGCCTGACTGGGCGTGAGCATTGACCTAAGATCCAGGAGATGGCGGTTTGATTCCCGGTTCGGGGCACATGCCCAGGTAGCGGGCTCAATCCCCAGTCGGGGGCAAGTAGGAGGCAGCAGATCAATGATTCTCTCTCATCATTGATGTTTCTATCTCTATCTCTCTCTCCCTCTCCCTTCCTCTCTCTGAAATCAATAAAGATATATTTTAAAAATATATATTAGCTCCAATAATTATCATAGCATTTATCACTCCTTCCTTCCTGTGATCCCTGCCCAAGAGTGAGCTCCTCAGGGGTACTGCTTACGTCTAACTTATTTTTGGACACATCACCACTACCACCTGGCAATACCTCGCTAGGTGTTTTCCGGAAATGTTTACTGAATGAACAAATGAATGCAGATTTGACTGCTGATGAGTCAGGGCAAAGCACCCCCTTTCATCATTCACAAACCCAGACACACGCACAGTCTCTAAAACATTCACACTCACTCACATTCATTCACAGAACCCCAAATACCACAGAAGAGCCACCCAGTTTCCTAAGGTCAGCCATGCATAAATGCAGAACTTACCCACTTTCTTGCACTCTCCACACACCACCAAAATGACCAACACCCTCTCCCCACCCATGGAATGATGGGGCTGTAGGAGTGAGGGAGCTCCCACTCACAAGAGGGAAAGCAAAGCTGGACCTTCTGCCCCCAGCGCTGGTGCATCCTAGCTACAGATAGTGCTGCCCTGCCTTCCCTTGGCGGCTCACCTCTTTTCCTTTCCGAAAACCTGGACCCCTGATCTTGGCAGGTGGTTGAGGAAGAGACTTGGGAGCCAGAACTCCAGGGTTCCTTCCTCTCTCATCTGGTCCTGTCTCTGAACCTGGGAGCATAGGCCATTGCCCTGCTCTGCTAGTGCCAAGCACAGCAGTCTGCAAGAAGGCGGCAGGACCAGGAGACCCAAGGCCTGAGGTGGTGGGAGGGCCTTCATAGTCTTGAGGTGGAATAATTTCCTTAGCCACCATTTACTGGGTACATCACAAGGGTCAGATACTGAGCCCAGCGCTTTCCATTCGTTATATCTCATTTTAGTCTCACCACCCTTTTTCCAGAGGACACGTGAGGCGTTGCAGATTAACCGACTAGCCGAAAGTCACCAGCTGGGATTGGCACACAAGTCTCTAATTCCTGGATCTTCAAGGCCAGGCTTGGAGAATGTAGAGTGGGTGGGTCGTGCGCGAATGCTGGAGGTCCTCGGGTATTAAGCTAAGGAGAGTCTCTTCCCCAGGGCAGCACCCGCCCGCTTCAGCCAGGCCCCTGTCTCCCTCGGAAAAGGGGCGCCGGAGGCCGCGGCAGGGGTTCACCTTGTTCCGAACCCGGGCGGGGCCCGGGCGGGGCCTGGTGAGCCCGGGAGCGACGCGGGCCGGTGGCCCAGGCTCACAGGCCAAGATGGCTGTTAATTAAAGTGCTGGCACTAGCTCCTCTCTGCAAAGTTTGAAGCCGTTATTTTCCACTCCAGCGAAGCGGGGAGAATCCGGCTGGGCTGACGGAGACGCCACACCGCGCCAGGGGAGCAGGCGTTCTTTCGGGGCGGGGGACGCGCCGCCTCGGACGCGCGGGCGAGCGCGGGC